GAACCCTCCCGTGACGCTCTCCACCCTTGGTTGTTTTCTTTTGAACCGACAACCGTTGGTAGAGAATGTAACCGTGAGCAAGCTCATTACTCTGAAGAACTTTTCTATGATAGTGTTACCGCGCACGACGAAGGGAGACGGGCAAGAGAATCGTAATTTGTCGCTCCGCCGCGCATGGCGATGGGCGCGGCGTTTTCAAACTCGTGTTAGCCTGTCGACTGGAGCACCGGATTTCACGTGGACTGAGAAACGTAGACATTTATGACTTTTTTCGGTTCTACAATTGCCTGTTGTCGCCATCTACGACCTGGAACCATCGTCATTTGCGGGCGCGACGTCGCACGCGACGCCCATCAGCGCGGCGAATTACGATTCTCTTGTCACATACCCCACGACGAAATCGATCAGATCGGCGTTCGTCATCGTTGTGTGAATGAATCTAATCAGGCGGTCATATTTGGCCACGGGGACAAGAGTTACATCTAGCCCCGAAGAAAATTCCCTTGAGTAGGGCTATGCGGGCTGTAAGTTGTGAAAGGGGATCGTTCCGAGTTCCTTGTTAGTGATGGGGCAGGCCGTACTGGCACCGCTATTTCACACATCCCAATTAATGTGCCATGGCTACGACTACCGTCTTCCTGTTGAGCGGTGTTATTTGTCAAAACGTACCCAATCCTCTCCGCGGATTCTCCGAATCCCTGATTCTCCTGGAGCGCTAGTAACGTAGTATACAGTCATGATTCCTGTAAACTATAGGGCGTGCGACGCGGCGCGGATTTCAGCGCAGTCACGGTGCCTTTACCCAACAATAATGTCCTCCTGAGCCCGATACAGCTGATGTAATTCTGACCCGGCTGTGCAAGCCTGCCCCCTCACACGTCCTATTGTTTGCAGGGATCATGACTGCAGGCGGGTGGGGGCCAAAAAAAGTCACTTCGACCGAGTCACATATCAGCAAAGTTTTGCAGCCCAGACAGAGGACGTGGATACGAGTACCAGGGCAGGAAGATACCCAAGATGTTCCTCGATAAGCAGGAGCTGGCTCTCGCCCATCACCTTCATGTACACCAAAATATGAAGTCATCTCAGGTGCAGCCTGACTGGGAGAAGACCTTTGAAATTCATCACCTGCCAACAACGAGCTCTGCCAAACTTCTAGTATGGAGTCACCCTGACTACTGAGAGACAGTTTACAGTGACTCTCGATCTGGAAGATCTCCATCATCGAACAGCTCCGACAACGTGGCCACGGTCTAGGACATCATCTTCACCGCAGTCGCCAAGGTGCGGGTTGATGGCATTGGACCGGAACGCTACTCGAATGGAAAGACCAATATTTTCTCGTGCATTCCGACCGAAGGTAGGCGCATGGCGGTTACGTGCAAGAACTCGGAGAAAGACTACCCTCGCTGTCGGCATCCGTTACCTTTCTTTTGGAAGACTTTTGTACTGCTGCCAGGATTGGGCGACACCACGTGGATTCGAAGGGCGTTGGAAAAACTTTCGCCCACTTGGAATGGAAGGACGTTGAGTACCTGAAGAGGATGGAATATCTAAATAAGGTTCACCTGACCTTGAACCCCTTAAAACGGTTCGGTGAGGGAGCTTAACAGGGGTGCGTCACAGTGTCGCGGAGGAAATCAACTATTTCGCTGCAACTTCTGGTTACCCACTCACGGGTCGGCGTGTGCAAGAATCTTTTCGATGGGCGCTCCTCCAGAAGGCTTCTGGCCGGCAGATTATATTGCATAGTAGTTTGTAATGCGGTGCAATCTTTAATATGGTTGTAGAAGTTTCCGATCAGAATTTGATAAAGTGTATCTTATAACGCCTCGAAAGTCAAGGAAGCAAAGTGACTTTTTTGCCCTCCACCCTGTATATCTCGACGGTGAAACGTTTAACAAGGAATTTACCTGGATATTACGCATTCTGTGCTAATTGATGTTCTTTTTAGGCGTACGCGAAGATGAAACCTCGCCTATCTGGTATCGGTCTGAATAAGACGCTTCTCGATAATCAGACAGGAACAATGCCTGAAAACTTTGTTCTTCTGGAGGTTGCCAGTGAAGTCATGAGAGAAACGATTGTTAAACAGTGAGTTGCACAATCTTGTTATCGTTTCTCGCATTTTAAGGTGCACCAATGCTAATGAGGAAAGCTCAAGGGTAGCATATCTCCGCCCACGTGACCAGCGTGGACTATGTCCTTTAACCACGTCCATATGAAGCAGACATAAGATTAATAGTTTCCTTTCTTTCACAAAGTTACATAAGCGGAAGACGCATCTCTTACACTTTATCAGATATGACGAAACAGAAAAATGAGTAAAGTAGAGTAAAGTAAAAACTGAATCCTCTGCAGATCATCTCGCGGGAAACGAGCCCAGCTTCGGAATGCCATCTACACAATGCTGGCGATAGTAATGTCATACTTAGTATGCAACGGTGTTCACATTTTTCTCTCATTTCTCGAACGAACCGACGATGTTTTCTCACTTCTCTACGACTCAGACGATCCAAATCAGTCCAGTAACTTCTACATTGGTAAGTTCTTATCGGGCTTTTCTAGAGGGTACAGCATCGTTAGATCAACCCCGTCGGGAAGGAAGGAGGCGTAATGGACGTCGAGAGAATTCTCTTGTTGTTGATTTTCCCCGTTTCACGCTTCCCCATCTTGTTCGATTGGACACGATTTTCCCCGATAGACGCTAGTACTTTTCTGGGAGAATCGGTAAACTTTTTAAAGAATCGCTAGGGAGTTGTAAGAAACTGGCAAGACGGTAAGTAGGTTGTGGCCGGGAGAGAGAGGGCAAATCTCACCCATCCCGATGCTGGGAAGGGACACTTAGGGGCAAGGAGGGCGAATCGGGTAAGGGTCGTGCTAACAGGACCATCTCACCTTTCCCGATGCTCGAAAGGGAGATTCGGGGGTAGATGTCGTGCTGACAGCGCCAGCCCACCCATACCGTTGCTGTACCCTGCCAGCACCATTCTTGAACAGAGCCTGATTTCTATTTCTTTTAGCGCTTTCGGACACGGTCAGTATCTGCTATATGGTTTCATCGGCGACTCGGATTCTAATCTATGCCAAATGCAATACGAAATTGAGAGAAGAGATCGGCGACTACCTGAGAGATAGGAAATCCTTTTATGCTCATAACGATTCTTGAAGCTCACTTTGTGCTTTTTAATGCTGCTTCCTTCAACGCTCAAAGAGAGCCGTTCTCTTTCCCGTGTAAGGAGCCGAAGTCGCTAAAAGCACTTTGGACAGCTTTTTGCACCAATATACGGCAGCCGGCAACTGGAGCTACTTTGATGTGATTGATGAAGGGAAAAGTGCTCTCGCTAAGCGCACTTCACCCCAGCGACATTCCTTCGGGACACTTGCCGAACATCGAGCTCAAGCTGCTACAATAGCCTGACATCTTTCCTGCCCTTCGGTTCTGGAATAGGGATGAAGCCTTCCACGTATTCGACTTCCGTTCAGGATTATAGTGCAATCCAACGCGCATTTATTAGGCCACATAGCGATCTGGGTTCACCTAAGCCTACGCTGATCACATGGGCGGAGTCGGGCCTATCAGTGCGCTCTCCTAATTAGAGCTCCTTCCATTCTTTTCGTCCTAGAAGGGAGAGGGAGCACACTGGGATCCGCTCTACCCGCGATCAGCCTGCATTGCGCTTTCATGTGCGCGGCAGTTCCAATAATACGAGGTTTTCAAGTAGCTTGGTTACACCATGTTTTGGAATGAAAGTTGAATGCGTGGCGTATTCTTGAAGAGGATCGGCCTAAGTCGAACACAGAATATTGAAGGGAAGCAAATCAAATGCAAGAATCTATTGACAAAAATAACTGTGCCATAAAGGCTACACTAGCGCGGGTACGTCATGTGGGTCCTAAATCGAGGATTTTTCTGTAAGGTAATCCATGACATTATGACATTTTTGATTTTTCGCATTAGTGAAATCTTTCTCGTAACTACTAAGCAATGATTTGTTTGTATTCTTCATAAATAAAATGTTTGAATTCCTCCGTGTTATTATTTTCATCAGTCGCTGGGGCACTTCCTAGAATCCCGTTTGTTGCTACTCTAAAATACAAACTGTCCGCTAGGCGGAGTCCCAAACGGTACCCGGGTATCACACCCTCCACCCGCGTTCCCAAGCGCTTTCTACCGGAAAAGGTGACGCGGTACTGCCAATACGGACCCAATCACCTCGCCCATCACAGGTACCATAATCCAGTGCATGGATTGTTTTCAAACATGAACCCTAACCATAGCCAAACGTGCTACTCTTCTGCCTCCTCTCACTTTTGGTTGTTCTCTAACGCTACGTATGTTTCTTTGCGGGACTTTGGCATCGGGGGCCAGGTGCGGAACAGATACTCAGCAGTAGACAATAGCCGCAAAAGAGAGAGGATAGACAGGTAGCGCATTTGGCTGTGGTTGGACATGGACAGGCCGCGCAGCAGCGCGGGCGGAGTACGGAAACGGCGTCTGGATAGCACTACCCTCCAGCTACGTTTCCGTGCACTTTTGTCCGGAGAAAATGGCACGCTAATGCAGCTGCGACCTATTCACCTCACACATGGCAAGCAGGACTCATAAAGGTGGATGTACAGTTTGTCTTCAAGAGTATTCTTGATTTGTGCCCCTACTTTCTTTGTCATTATGTATTAAAATTGAACGGAACCGTGTATTCTCATCAATCGAATGTCGGGTGAAAGTATGCTGAACAGTTTCATATTAATGCCATCTGTTCTTGAATAAACCTTTTCAAATTGTTATGTATACAGCCTTCCATTGAATCGGCGTAACCGCCTGCCTTCAAGACATTCAGCGGTGACCTTAAGTGAAATCACTTATAAGCGATATCGCTGAGATGCAGTGGGCGTGGCTGCCTGCTGCATTTCAACGTGGCGGCGGCTGAGCTTCTGGTGAGACATTTTCGTTTTGTTACACTTGTAATCAAGTCTTTGTCTACCACGAGGTATGATGACAGTTGTCTCGAACTAAAATATGTCACAAAAAGCGCATCCCATACCATGTTTGAATTACGCTGTCACGCATACCTAGTCTCAGGGTTGTGGTCTGGA